TGACATTTGTGGTCGTTACTCCTCCTTTCCCTAGTGCATAACAAAGGTCTAGCACAAGGAAAAGAAGGAGAAACGACCCCCACGACAACAGTCGGGCTTCTTCGTCCTCTCTCATATATGGTGGATACATTCCCTCACAGATTTTTCGACCTTCGGTGATGGAGCCTCGACAGACTTAAAGTCAACCCGAAATTTCGTTTAATTATTTTTCAAGAAAATCCAGGCCACTCGATATTTCCTACATATTCTAGCACAAGTCATGCCAGAATTCACGGAAAAATCCGGCATGACCTTTGCTAAAAAAGGGCATATCGAGCGCCTAAAATTTGCCGGAACGGAAATTAATCAACACTCCGGCAAAACATAGGCCACTATAGGAAGTGTAACATGCAAACATGGCCGATCACTTGGGCAAGCACATATCCTATTTGAGCAACACAAGATATACATGTTTATATCTACATCATATGAGCATTCAATAAGCATTCAAGATATACACCTAAATTCTATTAACTACACCTAATTAAAAACCTACATTTTAAACATGCTTCGATCATAACTAGGGTTCATACTATGTTATTCTAAGATTAAACACCTAAAATACCTAAATTAAATTAACAACATGGGGTGGATGGTCTCACCCCGATAGAGGTCGGAGGGGGTCGGTGACAGGGACGGTGGCGGGGATGATGCAGGGGCTCCTTGATCTCTGCAAAAACAAAATATAAACAAAAATATTATTATCATCATCTTAGGACTTAGTGAAACTCCATAAGCTAGTTCTATTAATTTTCTTACTAAAAATAAACCAAGCCCATGCCTCCTCTGCCGAGTCGACGACGAGGATGCGGGATAGACACCGTCGACGTCGATGCGGGAATAATTGGTTTAACTAAAAAATAAACTAGTTCTATTAATTTTCTTACTAAAAATAAACTAGTTCTATAGTAAAATTTTAATTAGATCATCAAATCTCATATACCTAAATTTTCTTACTAAAAATGAACTAGTTTTATTAATTCAACTAGTTCAACTAAGCACTTACTATAAATAAAATAAACTAGTACTTACTAAAAATAAACTAGTTTAACTAGTTCTATTAATTTTCTAACTAATTCTATTAAACACTTACTAAAAAATAGTAAAAAAACTATATTGAATTTTTTCTAATTAGTTACCTAACCTACTTCCCTAGCTAGAAAACATCTAAGTTAATTAAAAGACCTACATTTACTTATTATTTTCAAATTACTTATTCGAATTTTCTAAAAACAAAATATAGTAAAAACCTACATTTACTAAAAACAAAAAACTACATTTAACAAAAACTAAAATCTATTTACAAAAAGGGGGAGGAGGAGGTGTGGGAGGAGGCCAGGAGGAGGGGAAGGAGGAGGAGGAGAGAGCAGGAGGGGGAGGAGGAGAGAGGAGGGAGGAGGAGGGAGGAGGAGAGAGCGGGAGAGGGAGGAGGGAGGAGGAGGAGGAGGGAGGGATCGACCTTGGGGTGGAGGAGGAGGACGACGACGGCGGCGGCGACGGCAACGGAGGCGACAAAGAGTGTGAGTGGGAGAGTGAGAGGAGGCGCGAGCCAGTTAATTTGGATAAGGGCCCTTAGTGGTAGCACTTGTTCATAAAAAGCGCTACTGCTAAAATCCGTAGCAATAGTGCTTTCTGAATAAAAGAGCTACTGCTAAAATCAATAGCAGTAGTGTTATCTGTATAAAAGCGCTACTGCTAAAGCTAAGCATGTAATTTAAAAAAAAATATTGGTCATCAATGATCTTTTTGTGTAGAATCTAAATTGTCAAATAGGAATCTTCTCCGGTTTAACCGGCGAAGATTCCTATTGCGGCCACAGATCCTACACATAGAGTTTAATGAAGACCAAGTGGTTGTGATGATTTGAGAAGCATCATATTTAAGGTGGTGAAAATTCTGTTCGTGGAGCGAGGTGGGACTAAACTTTGGTCTTATTAGGAGGGGACTGAATATATCAGTAGCGTTGGTAGGGAAAAAAGCATTGTTGCTAAGATCAATAGTAGTAGCGCTTGTTTCCCATGAGCGCTACTAGTATCCCTAGCATACCTGGAACGGTCTGTTAGTTTTAGTAGTAGCGTGTTTTGCATTTCCAGCGCTACTGCTATGCCCATAGTAGCAGCACTTGTAGTGCAACCGCGCTACTATAAAGTAGCACCAACGTTTACTTGTTTCCAGCGCTACTACTATGCTACTGTGTATAAGCATTTTCCTTGTAGTGATGAAGATGGTATACTTTATTTTTGCGGGTGATGAAGATGGGATCCAAAGGAATTACTCACAATTTAATGGCAACTAGGTAGGAGGGATTTGCATTTGTTCTGCTTTTGTCGCATAACTTTGTTCTGTAATCGTGTTTCACGCGGTTTTATTAACTTGTAGTGTGTATTTGTATCCATGGGAAACTTATATATCTGGTTACAATTGTGCAACACAAGCCATTGAATAGAGTTAATATACCACATGCTGATGTGGATGCCATCCACGAGGTGCGGCGGTGTCCCCTCAACTTAGATTGGTCGTAATGGGAGTATCATAGATAGTATCATGCACGCCAACTAAGCAATTTTGATGAAGTGGCATAGAATTAAATGAAGAAAGAGAGGCTTGAGTATCATATCATGATACTGTATCATATTAAATGATGTGCTACTTTGTGTCATGCATGTCAATAAATGTAGTCATATATGGTACCAACATATGATACCATGCATTACGAATGCAGTATCATATACTAGTATCATATGCATGATACTAGTATGTGATACTCCCCATTACAACCAGCCTTAGAGGACACTTTACATGGACGTGATATGTTGGCATCCAAGCGTCATGCAACATAAGTTATGTTCACGACATCAAATCTCCATGTCAGTTTGCACCTCATCTCATTGCCTTCGTCATTGGTGACATATGCCCTTGTGGATAAGGATAGAGCTAATACTAGCATTGCAATTGACAAGCCCATTAATATTAGATAATAGAATTAGTGCAAACACATTTTGTAAGAAATATGGCATCATTACAATATTTTTGTGGGTCATGGTCTGTCATAACACGACATGCTTTGTTGGGCGGGATATGGATAGAAAGATGAAATAAAGGCATACCACATAAGTCCATATCCATTAGTGATAATAAATGGCGACAAAGTTATAATAAAGGGTGAGAAAAACTCTTATCAAATGCGATATTACTCCTCATTACATCGTCGGGATGATTATGCATAACTATTGTGGTGGGGGTCCTACCGGCTTCTTCGATTTTCTTGACTAAATGCAAATGAATGAAGGATGAAGTGGTGCTTGTAATTTAGAGGGCATCATGCTTCTTATGGTATGGTTTTCGTGTCTATAATGGTTGAAACCGTAATGTTTTTGGATATTAAAGAATGTATTGGACTACGACGTGGTTTGATGCGACGAGGAATCTTCTCTGGTTGAAATTTAATTCCTAACATTCCTCACAATAAATGTGAAGATATAGTCCGACAGAGTTACTCGCACTTTTAACGCCATTAGTTAGGAGAAATTTGCATTCATGCAATTTGCCGCTTTTTTCATGATTTGTTGCCTTGCAGCATACAACTTCGTATTCACGAGCAGCTCATAACTAATTGCAATCATGTTTCACGCAGTTTATCGACTTGCAACAATGTAACGGTATCCATGAGCAACTCATACAAGAGTTCATAATCATGTGGTATTAGTGCTCAATAAAATATCTCTCTTGCCACAAAACAATAATTTGTGAGGGATCAATCGGTGCTTTCCTATCACCGGAGTTCAAAGCAAGAGGAAGATTGTGTTTAGTGGGGACGAGAAGAGAAGAGAGAGGCACCCCACCGCCCACCCTACCCGTTCGTCCTTTGGAGAGGAAACCTAACCTAAACTACTACCCGGAGAAGATGCACCGGGATTCTCTTCCCCGCCACCGGCCGCCAAAGCGGCAGGCAAAGGGAAGGAAAATCCATAGACTCACCGGTGAATTTTGGAGGGGATAACTCCGTATCCACGAGCAGCTTGTAACTAATTGTAACCATGCTTCGCGCGGTTTGTCGACTTGTGGCAATGTAACGGCATCTTTTTTTTTTGCGGGCAATGTAATGGTATCCATGAGCAACTTATATACCAGTTCATAATAATGTGGTATAACTGCTCAATAAAGCTCTCTTTTTCCACAAAATAATAATTAATGAGGGATCAATCGATGCTTTTCTAGTATCACCGGAGTTCTCTTACATTAAGCAAGAGGAAGATTGCATTTAGAGAAGAGAAGAGAAGAGAAGAGAAGAGAAGGCAGAGGAAGGCACCCCACCCCACCCCACCCCGTTCGTCCTTTGCCTCATTATTTCACTTCATTCACTCACTCCCATCGATCCAGCAAGGGGAGGGGGGAGGGGAGCCAAGCCCTAGCCAGAAATCCACCATGTCCGACCACATCGACCTCAACGCCGCCGCCGTCCCCCAAACCCTAGCCTCCGCCAAGCGCGGCCGCGGCCGCCCCCGCAAGAACCCCCCGACCCCACCCCCCGCCCCTGCCCCGGCCCCGGC